CTCTCTCTCTCTCTCTCTCTCTCTCTCTCTCTCTCTCTCTCTCTCTCACTCACACACACACACACACACACCTCCCTGGATGCTGCTGTTACTTATGTATCTGTATGTTGCAATTCTTCTAATGCTAGTAGTGAAGTGGCTTAATAGTTCAGAAGAAGCTGAATATTTTTCTTTCTGGGTGATCTTTTTGGGGAAAGGAGGTAGAAATCCCATGTTGGAGGGATCTTGCATTTCTTAGAGCCAAATAAAGTTTCTATGTAAAAAAAAATCCTACAGGGATTTGGTTATGTTTGTGGCATACTGACTAAAAAATCAAAACTTACAAAGTTTACATAAGCAAGGAATGATGCATGTTGTATGGATACAAGACTGTAATGTAATCTACACTTTTGCTATGTTACTAAAAAGTGTTATATGAAAAACTTGATTGTTCAAAGCCATGATGGACAGTGGAAAGCAGTATCTATGGCTCCAATTATTGCTTATTTAATAAGTATATGGACAAATGTATAAGGAATGCATTTAAATAATGTAAGGAGTATGTTGCTTGAAGAAGGCAGGTGTGCATTTTATATGTTGATCATACCACATTGTTGGTTGAGAATCCAAATAATTACCAGTGAATATAAATGAACAGTTCATAAATGTATCTGTGCAATAAGAGCCTTTGCTTATTCAATAAAAAAAATGAACATTTTTCCTCACTTTCTAGCCATTATATGGACTGGAAATAATTATACTGATTTTGCTGAAAAATCATTTTAGTTTAGATTAGGGTTTCATGATGCATATCTAGGCACTTTTATATAAAATTAAGCAGAAAATTATAGCTCTACATCTAGGTATTTCCTCCCATTCCATGATTTCTAATATCTGATACATCTCTATCCTAATATGAGTGCACAAGATTTGCACCTGCCCTTCCCACATGGGTCTGAATATTATGAATGAAAAATGATAGCTGTATCAGTAACAATTCTTGGTTTTTATAATGCTTAGTTCTAAATTTATTAGGTGTGTATGTAAATACAGTTCAACCAAGGTTAATATATATTGGGTTAGATAGGCTTAAGGCACAAATTTGCATGGGAGTAAAGTAGGTTGCATAAAATTAGTATGTTCATACATACATCCAATATTCTATTACCTCTCAGTGTAAGAAACGTAAAAAGCACAGGAAAAAAAGAAAAAAGAAATAATAAAATAAAATAAATAAAGGTTAAGAAAAAGTCTGTTAAGAAAAGAAAATATAGCCAAACCTGGTTTATACTAATACCATGTATTATATCTCCAAACCACTCTTACTTCCATACACATGTATTAACCACTTTATAGATTGCCTTTTGTTCTCTAAACTTCTCACTTTTTGTTGAACCTCATCTTTAGCTTCAACATAATCTGTTATTACCTATATTTTCCCTTTTAGCCCACTTACTCACTCTTCATTTATTTGCTTTGCAGTTTGATCATCATCCTTTCCTTCTACCTAACAAGCCATCTTCACAAACTTCTTTCATACATTCATACTTTTGTGTACAATCCACATTCATCCATTATCCCCACTCTTATTTAACCATACACTTCTTAAATAATCCATTTTAACTACATTCAACTTTCTTTTATGCTTGCCAAATATAGTAAGATTCAATTTCCATACAATGTATTTTTCAACCTTAGTAGCTTTAAGAATTCCTGTAGGCCAGCTGGGATAGGAGTTCAAATATCTTAAGAGTTGCCAAGATTGAGAAATATTTATGTACTAAAATGTTTAGTACACATTCTTATTCACAGCCATTATCCATTCCTTCATTAAACATTTTTCTTTGTACCAAACATATTATCCACTATCTCTACTATCATTTGCATGTCTTCTCTCCATTTTTTGTACATAGTGTACAGAGATATACCAATTCATTTACTTCACATTTATGTTTAACTTGCCATCAATCTTTCCATCTTCCTTGTCAAACACAATTATCTTGGGCTTTGTTATCTTAATTTTCAGGTCCATAGTCCTTGACATATCAGACAATACATCTAACATTCATTGCAAAAGCATTCAGGTTTTCAGCCAAGCATTCAACATTGTTTGCACACAAGAGTACACAATTATTCACACACCCAGCCAACAACTAATATCATGACAAGTATTCCTTATACATTTACCTCTAAGTATAACCACCATAACAACCTTGTCTTACTCTCTGTTCCATGTTGAATTATTAAGATGCCTTTATTATAATGCATGTTTTACTTCCAAAATTATGTCTCATTTAGCATCCATCAGCAGCTTTAATTCCTTATTCATGCAAAATATTTCTGAATTCCGCTGTATTCATTTTATCATATACTTTCTCAAAATCAACAAACATGCACTAAACTTTCTAATGCTAAGACATTTGTCAAAAACACATTTACTAATTTGTCTATATAGTCTTTATTTTCATAATTACTCTCTTTCCCTTTGTATAATGAAACAATTAGCATTTTCTAGTTGTCAGGCAAGACAGAATCTTCACACACCACACTGGATAAGTGACACAATAGTTCCACAAAGCAAAATGCATCCATATTTTAAGTTTTCTCCAGTTAGCAGTATATTGCTTAAGAATGTTGAAAACTATTCCTGGGTCAAAACTGCAAGTATAGTTCAATCTTGGTCACTAAAGTGAATAGGCTCATTGGCACTTAGCATTTTATTTACTGTGGAAAATCAAAACAGTAGAAAATCCCAGTATTCCCAGTAGAAAATCTTTAACATTTGTTTTTCCCCTGCCCTTCTGATCTATTCCAGCATATTCCAAAAGAAAGTATTCATATCCTACAGGTATATTTCTGCACAAAATATATCTGATATCCACTTTCAGATTTATAAAGACCTGTCCTATGATAATCTGATTATGTCTTATATTCAATTCATGGTAATTTGGATTACTGGGCTACCAATCTTTTCTGAATAAAATTAGTTGTTTCCAATTAAAGCTCTTTATATGACATTTTTGAATACTAACTTTAAAATGTTATCTGGTTGAAATGCTCAATTTTAGGTGTTCTTAATAAAAGCAGAAGAGAGTTTGACCTTTCTACTTCTCCATTTGAAATAAAACTACTAAAAGATGATCAACATTTCCTTTAAATAGTGCCTCTCTGTTCCTAACCTTACTGGGTTTATTTTCAAACTGACCTCTCCATGATACTTACAATGAAGGAGTAAAGCACCAAATTCCCATGCATTCATTTGTTGGTGTTCCATTTATAATAATAAATTTATAAATGTATATCCTACCTTTTCCTTGAATCTCCTGAATTTTCCAAAGTGTCTCACATTAAATTTATCAGTAAAAAGTTAGCCATGTAAAATGCAGGACTATATGATATTCATACAATGAAAATCAGTGATGAATGCAGTATCACATCAGTCAACTCACAGATAAAATATTTATTAAGAACTGGAAAAATGAAAAGGTCTTTTTCCATTTTGGAAAAAGAATCCAAAGTACAACCCAAGAAATGAGTCTCCATGGGAATAAGTTAGATGCCAAGGAACTCTTCCTGGTTATTAACTGAGTAAACCACTTACAAAGAGTGACTTCTTACAACTATAATCGGTTCTACTAGCTTGTTCTTCTCTCCCTATAGACAATATGGCAGTGACAGCAGAGCCTGCACATCCAGTTCAAATTCTTGCAAGATACAGCAAGAGTAGATATAATTAGCATTGACTCCTTGAACTTTTCTCCAGGCAACACAACACTGTTCACACAGCTTGATCTCAGCTGCAGTACTAAGGAAGGGGGAGGAGAGAAACTATACAATGAGGTAAGTGGTGGCCTTCACACAGCACAGTCACTTACAGCAGTCCATTTTTCAACAATCTAGCTGGATCACTGCAAGAAATATGCACTGTCGTTTCTCATCGTTTTATCTCTTCTATTTTAGGGAATAATCTAGATGGTGGGGAGGAGAGATTTCTGATCAATGTTGCCAAGGGCATCTAGAAGAAAAAAACCGTTCTAATTCATCAAATGGTGTCAAAAAACACACACAACTGCCTTCAAACAAAAAACATAACTTCCATGTCTACATATGTAACCCGTACAACATTTGCTACCATTTATTATATTCAAAAGAATATCTCCTTTTCGTCCCCCACTGGATTTCTTCTCCAAATATTCTAATATTGTCTTTCCAGCCTCCTTATGGTTGTCTCAGTTCGGCTGGCTTAAAATCTTACTGAGAAGCTATGGTCTCTGCTTTGCTGGGTCCCAGGGAACGTTCAGAGTTGGTGCGGGTGGCAGAGGCTTCTGGATCGCCTTCTACAACCACAGCACCATCTTTTGTAGGCTGGGAACTCTTGGAAGAGCAGTTCTTGAAGCAGGTCTGGAAGACCTGGAACGAGGCCATGACCATAATCGAAAGAGCCACCACCGCCACCGTGATCAGGATGAAGATATAGTTGAAGGCATTTGCAGAAGCCTGAGTGGGAAACGGTTCCAGAAACGATGCATTTTGACCAGGTCCGCTGGTGCTGTTGGCAGGGAAAGTTCCCGTAGCTCTCGTAGTAGATACGCTGGGTTGCGCCGTCGTCACGCCGACGCAACTCTTTTCGTCGGCCGCCAAGCGGGATCTCCAAGAGCATAAACAACGGAACGCGCCTAGGCCACTAAAGCAGTCCTTGAATTGCGCACAGTCTCCGCTGCTCGGGCTCCAGTAGCCGCTGGGACAGGAGCACAGGTCTTGCTCGGTGCCTTCCCAATGGAAGCCGCTGGGCGACAGGCGGCAAGTAAAACGTGCCTCTCGCCCGGGGCACCTTATAGTAAGATTGGTCCCCGGAGGGCTGAATTCTATGTCCGGGCTTTGAAGCTGAAAAGGCAGCCTGTAGTAGACCATTCCGCGGGCGCCAGAAGCCGAGGGGAGGGCGGGGCACGTGCCCGCATAGCTGTATTTACAGATATAACCCGGGCTTGCCTTGAAGCAGTCGTGGTCCTTCAGGCCCCACGGATGGAGGTGCGGTTGGGCCAAACTGACTTGCAACCCGGCGCACCTCTGCTTCGTGCAGGATTTGTTCGGTTCTCTGAGCCACTTGGGCGGCGTGGCGGCGGTCCCGTTGGCCCCGGGCTCCTCAAGCCCCGGGGAAACCCAGGAGAACCCCCTGAGCGGCAGGTCTTCAAGGGTGCACCGCTGGACTTTCTTCACCAGGCCCAACCAAAACAAAGAGCCGCCCGTCTCGTTGGCGAGTCCTTTCAGCAGAGAGAGGATGACTCCGACTTCGGTGCGGCTGCTGGCCGTGCTCAGAGCTCCCCCGTGCTGGGCGCAGGTTTTCTGAGCCTGGTAAAACTTCATGCTGCCTAGGTGGACGCTGTAGCAGGCCCCGGATGCGTGGCACCAAGTGCGGTCGCTCTGGGGGAACTCGGCAGAGCCCCAGAGCCCCGAGAAAGGTGGCAAGAGGGCGAGCGAGGCAAAGATCAGCCCTCGCATCTTGGCTCTTGGAGCGGAAACCTGGATTGAAGGAATGCAGCGTGGAGGGAACTCCTTTAACTTACAGTTCACAACCATATCTGGGCTCCCAGAGCTTTCCCTTCTAATGGCAGGAAGGAAATGTGTCAGAAGTTGGACCTTAACCTTCACATCCTTGGTTAATTGAAGGGCCTCTTTTCCAGCCCAGGGAAAGTCTGATAAGATCAGCCTCGAGAGGCTTTTCTTTCTTCTCTTGGCAGGGGCTGGAAAAATGGTGTATTAAAAAGAGATTGAAAAGAAAAACTGGTAAAGTACAGTATTCTTTGGCTAAACTCTTGATACTCTTAATACTCTTGAATTATTTCATCCATCCATATTAATAAAGATAATCAGCTGCCTAAACAAATCTCTGTAGCTTTAAATACAGGTAGTCCTCAATTTATAACAGTTGGTTTAGTGGCTGTTCAAAGTTCAACGGCACTGAAAAAAGTGACTTATGACCAGTTTTTACACTTCTGACCATAGTAGCATCCCCATGGTCATATGATCAAAATTTAGACGCTTGGCAGTTGACTTATGACAGTGGAAGAGTCCCAGGGTCATGTGATCTCCTTTTGTGACCTTCTGACAAGCAAAGTCAGTAGGGAAGTCAGATTCACTTAACAACAGTTTGACCAATTTAACAACTATCGTGATTCACTTAACTGTGGGAAGAAGGAGGCAAACTTACTTAACAAATGTTTCACTTAGAAACAGAATTTTTGGACCCAATTGTGGCCATAAATCAAGAATTATTTGACCTTTGCCTGTTCCAGACAAGGCTAGTTGATCTCCCACATCCCATAATACAGTAATTCTTCCAGTTTTGTTTTGTCTAGGTATATGTCAGTTGTCCATTTTGTTAAACTTATAAGAGCAGTGTCAAGTCATTTATAATGTTGGAATCAGAAGTCTGGATTAGGATTAATTATATGTGAAGCCATTGGATGGTTTTAATTAATTCTGAGAAAGGAAAAGCATATTTCTGTGTCTTGAGGGAAGGATCTGGATAATATATAAAGCCCAAAGTCACTGATTAAGGTCATTCTCCCATTAGAGGCTTGTAACATTTTCATTGCTGTAATTTTGTCTGTGTCAATTTTGTCTTGAAGTCACAACTGGGGAAATAATGTAAAATTAGCACCATTAAAAAACACTACTACAATTGAGTCTGATACACTTCAAAACTGATGTAGTTTTCAGATTTGTTTTTACAAATATTTAGAAACTGTGAAGATCTTATATCAGCCACTGAGTATAAGTAGTCCTTATTTAGCAACTGGCTTGTTTAATGGCTGTTTGCAGTTACAACAGTGATGAAAAAATAACTTTGCAACCAATCCTCACATTTACAAACTTCACAGGTGCGTAAAACAAAGAAAAGCTGAAGCAAGATCATAAGCACAGTTGTGATTTCACTTAGCTGCTTCTTTGCTTAATGACTTAGTTGCTGGTCCCAATTATGGTTGCTAAATAACGACAACCGATATGTGACTAGAACGTCAGTATGTCATTCTCTTGCAGCTGCCATATTCTATAGCAGTTTTGATCAACTTTAGCTAGATGTGTGGATTTCAACATCCAGAATTCCCCATACAAATACTTGTATTGCCTTTATGCTATACGCCAGCTTTTTTTGCCTAAAAATGAATATGGAAATAAATACATTTATGCAATGCTTAAGTTTGTTTTTGCTGCAACAGATATTATAGACATTCCTCCAGTAACTAGGTCTTGATAGTTCAGCTTTTAAAAAAATGGCTACTGAATAAAATTCTTAAATATTTTTTTAAAACTGTATCTCAGAAGTTGAATGTTCTACAAATTAATTAAGATTTTTACTAATTAAGAATTAATCAGTATTAAGTATTAATTTATAATCCTATCCTTCCCTACCTTGTCCCAGTTTGGTGTTTGTCTTGAAAGTAAAAAAAAAATGTTGGGAAATCTATTTATTTCTTACAGCTCTGTATCCTGTTAATTCCCACAGCCATACTGCCTGATATAATATGCCAGATTTATCCATTTTGTAATGCTGTGCCCAAAATGGAAGCAGGTCTTTAATTTTAAGCCCCAGTATTAACACAAAGTGAATTAATGTCACTGTAATTCATCAGCCTGACTTCCTTGAAATTAGTGGTAATAGTTACAGTTGTGCTGCTCCTAGTGGAATCAGCGTTTTATTAAGTGATTGAAATCTTGAGCTTCTACACATAATGTGGAAAGTTTCAGATCCCATACAAATTAGGACCAATCTAGAGTGCTAGAACTGATGCCTCATATATTATGAAAATACTTTTCTTCTTGGTAATGTGTCATCAAATCTGCTAAATAGATTTCCAAGACCAAATCATTGTATAATAATAAATAATAAATAATAATAATAAATAATAATAATAATAATAATAATAAATAATAAATAATAAATAATAATAATAATAATAATAATAATAATAATAATAATAATAATAATATAATTCATTGCAATTACCTTGCTGAAATAAATCCGGCTCAATATAGTGCAGCATTTTTAGTTTAAAAATGTTCTTTTATGCATTCATAAGTTCTATTTAGCCTTGACTTACATAGAAATATAAAAGTTCCATTTAATTTTTGTAGCAAATAAATCTATGCTACTTAAATTTGTCAGTTCATTTTTAACGTTAACCCAGCAAGCATTTTGTATTTATGTTTTGTAAAAAAAAAATGCACCTGTAGACCTTGCTCACACACTGCATTAAATGATAGTTTATTTATCCATGGTTTACTGAATCAGCTTCAATTGGCTGTATTATGTAACACTGAACTGTATACCATGCTTTACAAGCTGTAGCAGTTAGGTTCATGCTGTTCACTAAGCAAAAATCAATCAAACCCATACTTTGTTGTGATTTGTGAATCTAGCCATTGTATTGTAAAATAAGAGAGCCACTTTTCCATACTATTTACAATTTTATACACCCCCCTAATGTTCTCTTTAGATACTTGTTTTATTAACTGAACATCCAATTACTCTTTGTGAGAAAGTGTACCAATATTTTGTTAGATACAAGGATATAAGTACTTGTGAAGTTCTGATTTTCATAGCCAAGATCACATTTTTCTTCAAGACATGTTACCTTTTCTCAGCCTGTTGTAATACTTTCCCACTAGGGAAATATAGTTTTCCCTTCAGTTGTGACTGATAATTAGAATGCAATTGTTTCTGTATCATGCATGTATTTTGGTAGTGAAAAGGTGAAAACACTTTCCTGCCAATATTAATTTTATTTTTGTGTTATTTGTTTTGGAGTTTTATTTGTTTGGGGGAAATTGAAGTCTCCCTGCTACACCATACAGATATAGGAGTTTTCACAAAATTCAATGAAAAAGAAAGAAACGTAGTATAGCAGCAGCAATCTATATATATATATGCCAACTACCACTCACTCATCACGAAATCTCCAGAACGGTAAAGTCTACAAACTTGAAATTTGGCATGTATGTTCCTCTTGGCTTCTAGGTGCTTTCTAAGAAAGGATTTTTTGAAATGACCATCAGATCATTCGTATTTCTTATACAGTAATTAACACACTCTGATGCTAAGGAGTTCTACTCCCCCTTCCCACCTGAAAAGAACTCTGTTCCAACTGCCAGTTGTCTCACATTCCATTACCTCAGTTCAAACTGACAAATGTTCCACTCCTTGACTCAGGAGTGGTCTGGGGCTCCTTACAGTACTAAACATCGGTATCTCACCAAAATGTCTATGCCTTCCACCTATGGAACTACTTCCAGACTCAAGGCGGTGGGAGCGATATTCCCTTATGTGTTTCAATCACTGACCACCACTGAGCCAACGGATTGCGAACCTAATTTCTCCTGCATAGCCCAATCACAAAGTTTCATTGCGAAGCATGGGTATCCAGCTAGTACTTTGATAATTCACAGAGATTATTTTTATTATTTTGCAAGGATACATAATTTCTCAATTGCTCAAAAGTACAGCAAATCATTTAAAAATAAATAAATGCACACACAGAAATTGTGTCCTATCCTACAACCTAATTACAGTACCAGTTGATATGACCAAGGAGCATTTTGTAAAATGAGCCAATACTGCATCATTGTGACAATAACATTCAAGGAGAAAGCTAGATTTCTTTAAAATCTATAAAAATTATGCAATATCAAGGACACAAGTTACTGAATTGACAAATGATGTAGAATGAAATATTATAATTCATCTTGGCTGCCGAAACAACAATAAATTAAAATCTCTGGAGAGTTCCAGAACATTTGTGGTGGCCAGATTTCCTGAGGAAAGTATTACAATAACAGGAAGTCTCGCACCTAGCTATAAAGAGGTGACTTCAATTCTTGGCATTTTGCCTAGGCTGACCCTTCAACTCAACATCTTAAAGGAGGAGGCAGCAGGTGCCTGCTAACAAACAGCAAATGTAAAATTAAAATACAAGGAAGGGCATTTTTTTCGTCCAAGGCCAGGAGATTATTGTGAAGTAAAACCTATTCTTCAGAGGATCATGATAACATTTCCCCACCCAATTCCAGTTTAAATCCTACTTCAATTTAGCCACTTCAAGTATCTAATGAAGTGAGCTATCATTTGTTAGTCAAATTTATTAGTCTTAAAAAATTATCCAACACAACGGATAAATTTTACATGAGTATTCATTTGGAGAAATAACTGTCCTATCAGTTGTTCCTTGTTAAATTCTAAACCCAACCTCTGCCTTTATTCTCTGTTGCAATGGTTCCTGAGTCCTGACTTGTCATCTGAAAATGACTGGCAGTCATACAGCTATTGCGTATTATCCCTGATCATCATCGTCATCAATTTTAGCCACTGCAGAATGAAGGCCTCTTCTGCATGTTTCTAACTAATACAGTTCTGTGCTTTCTTTTGCCAATTGGTCCCACAATACTTGCTGAAGTTGTCGATCCCTCTCATTTTAGGTCTCTCATGGATGCTTTTGTATCAAGTAGGA